TTTCAAAAAGAGAAGTTGTAGTATCATTTTTTTCAAAGAGCTCTCTAATTCAATAGTAACAGAGAATATTATATATTAAGGAGAAACAATTATTTTATTATTATAGAGAATTTTCTATAATCTACTGTTATCAAAAATTCAAAATAATGGCAACTTGAATTATTCTATAGAAAAAGAATAGTTATCTAATTTTAATAAACTTGAGAAAAAAGTTAAGCTATCTTTAAAGCAGGTAGTAATTATCTATATGAATAATATAACTAGAATTGTCAAATTCAAAGAAGGTCTAGAAAAGATCTTAAAAAAAGCAAAAAAGTTTTATATAGCAAACAACTCTCAGATTAATGTAGAAAAGTCAATTATCTTTACTATTAATTGAAATTCTTAAGTTTTTGAAACTGTTTAAGCCAGAACAAAAGATACTACAATTTATAAAATTAATAAGGAGAATCTGATCAGATTTTTAAATATCTGGTTAGGATCAAAACAGAAAAACTAGAATATTATTAGCCTGATAAAATCAGAAATCAGAGTAATGATTCAAGCAATAACTAAGAAAAAGTTGACAAAAAATATATCTGATATGTTATCAATAAGGTTTTGATTTCAAGAAATACAATATATAGTATATATCTAAATAAAAAGATATGTAACAACCTCACAATTATATTCAGAAAAATATTCAAGAACAAGGCCTTGGTTTATAAAGCAATTCCAAATAATTGCATCCATAACAAAGAAATATATAGTCTCAAGAGTATTTAGAAAATACAACTAAAAAACCATATACCTATATTTTTTTATCAACTTAATAATAATAAAATTTTTGATATTATTATTATAATTAGATTGAAACAAAGCAAAATCAAATATAGGGAGCCTAATAATATTCTAAATAATTTTATTATCTTTTGAAAGCTAATTTAAGAAAATTTGGTAGTTGTAATATTGGTCCTAGCAAAAAATATACAAATTATCTTTCAAAGTTAAAGTTAAAAGAAAATATTTGATTATCAAAGAGATATTCTATATATCAAATCAATATTAAAATATAATAGAGAATATGAAAAAGTTATTTTATCATTATGATTATATTCTTAGATCAGCTAATCAATACTATTAAAATAACACTTAAAAAATGGAAAGCAATTCAAATTCTCTTTAACAAATATAAGGAACCAGTCCCCTCTTGATACAAAAAAGTTTGAGAAAAAATAAAAATAAATAAGATCTCTTATAAAACTCTCTATATGGTCTTAAATAAATAGGTTACAACAAGTAAACTGAAGTATTATCAACAAACTTAGAAAAAAGAAAAATATATTAGGTAGTCTATACTATATTTTAATAAACACATTAGAAAAAATAATATTCATAAACACAAATTCTATTTTATTTTATACTAGCTAGTATGCTATCCTACTAATAATTATACTCATATTTAATCAAATAGAGCAGTATAGTTATTAGAAATAATTATATTATAAGTCCATCTGCTTTCCCAACTAAATAGATATAACAATTTAAGAAAAAAAAAAAGATCTTTCTATCAAAAAAATCTTATAAACTGATAAATAAACATATATCAACAAACAGTAACTCTATTAATTATTAGATCTATAAAAGTAGAAATCTAGATAGAAGACTGAGATATCATATTAATAGAACAAGTTATATAAATAGAAGAACACAGAGGTAAACTTATAAATATTCTAAGATATAACAGAAGAATAGCTTATATTCTACATTAATAACTCCTATAAAAAAAAAGATAAATTGTGAACTCAAGATGGAATTAGCTTGAATTCTAATAGAGAAAGACAAAGTGGTTAAACAGTTTTTAGCAGAAGCATTTATATAACTATCAGCAACTAGGACCTAAATATTAGTTATTCTTATTGTACTGTATACAACTCCTCAAAATATATCTGTTATAATTTACACTGATTGCAACACTATAGTTAAAGTATAGAAATTTATTTGTTCATAAATAAAAACATTAATAAAAAGATAAATGAAGATCACTAATTGGCAACTATGAAATAAAATAAAAGACCTAGTAAAAAAGAAAGACCTAAATTTGTAAATATTGAAAGTCAAAGTCTATAGAAATAATAGATTAAACAATAAAGTAAGCTTACCTGCTAAACAAGTCAAGCGAAGAATCCAATAACCTAACATCAGCTATTAGAGTTGGGAAAAGTCTTTACAATAGTTACTGTATGTGAAGAGAATATATAATAAAGATTAGTATCAAAGATTTTGTCAAAATTTTTAATAAGAAAAGAATTAAATTAGACTTAACAATACAGAAAAGGATTCAAAATCTTTTGATTCAAAATAACAAAGTCACAAATTGACTAATTATTTAAAATTAGTTCAATTCAATCAATACTTTTGATACCTTTTTCAAATCCAATAAAAATAAAAACTTTTTAACTAATCTAATTCACAACAAACTTTCAATTTAAAAAAAAAAAATCAAATATATATGCTATAACCACTTGTTTAGTATACAAACTTTAAAAAAAGACATTAGGACATCTTTTTGAATGCCTAGCCTTCAGAAAAATTAGAAAGATATATGACAAAAAACAAATAAAAAGACCAATAAATATATTAGTAAAGAAGTAAAGGATAAAAAAGAAGCCTAATTATAATAAGTAATTGGACAAATAAATGATTGAAAGAGATTTAGAAATCTGACAAGAACTTTTTCATTACTATCTGTAAATATATAAAAGAAAATAAGACTATCTTCTTGAAGAATTATCATAAAGATAGCTTAAAATTTTACTTGTAACTATATAATATATAATTAATAAGATCTATAAAAAAATAAAAGTAAATTTCAAAAAAAAAATTGAACTAGTCATTGTGTCAAAGTTGTAGAATAGAAAAAAAAATAGAATATTATAAAAGAAGATAAAAAAAACAAAAAATACAAGCACAGATCTAATATATAGATTAGATAAAATCAAAAAACATTACTGTTATTTTTAAAGAACTTGAATCCAGAAGACATAAAAGAAAAAGAAGAAAAGAAGTATACAGTAATTATTAAAAATTGAATTTGTCATGAAATCAAATGGTTTCATTTTTAACTATAGATAGAACTTAGAATGATCTACAGTAATAATTTGAAGGCAATAGTTTTATTAATTATAGGAGTTATTCAAATTAGTAAAAAGGTAAAATATCATTTTCTAGATTGCATTTAGAGAAATAGTTTTTCAATTATAAATGAGTTAGTATGTAAAAGTCATAATAATTTGTAAATATTTAGTATATATATAATAAAGATATACTATATTGATCTGAGTGTTAATAATAAATCTTTAAAGTATTTAGTATATAAAATTTCATAGATCACTTATATCCCTTTTTGAGGGACAAAATTTATAACTCTTCACTTTAATAGAAACAAAGATTAAAAAATACTATAAATCAATGATTTGAATAATGGAGAATAATTGTGGATAGTTGACCTATGGATCTATAGTATAGTAGTAGTACTTCCAGGTCACAGTCACAAGGTCCAGAGTTCAATACCACCTAAGAACAAAGTGAGAAAAAATAATCAGATTGCATGAGAATAAGACTTCAGACCTCCCTGTTGATCACTGGGCTGAAATAAATCTATTATAAGGATTGCATGAAGAAAGGCCTCTAGTCTAATTACATGATTTATATCCACACATCCCTCTGAACTAAATAGAAAAAGAAATCTCATGACCCTGCTTTTAGGACTATGATAATCGTCTGATAATCTTTAACCAAAAACTGTACCGGCAAACTCTGGAACCTAACCATTCTAACTTGAAATATCTCAATCTGATACTTACTTAAAATGAAGAACTTATCAAATAGAGTTTGTTTATGATGTCGCAAGTAGTGACAAAGAAGAAAAAACTCCATTCTGAGGTTCAAGTAAAAATATCAAGATATCTAAGTGATTAAACTAACCCTTGTAAATTCAATCTAATGTATAAGTTAGTATAAAATATATAAGAGACCTATAGTAAACAGATATGCCAACTATATTAATAACATCAATTATAATTATTATCAACCACTGACCTCTAATTAAATTTGTCCTATTTTTGAAGTGATGTGCAGGTTTAACTAGAACAAGCTATGATAAGTTATTATTAATCTGCATATATATAGAAATATATAGTTTATATAAGATAATTGGTATCATATCAAAGACCTTAGATTCAAGTTTAAGTTTATTCTTAATAAAAGGCTTACATATAATATCAGTTGTGGTTAATAAATTAAAAAAAAAAAAAAATAATAATAATAATTGTGGATAGTTTTTTTATAGTTATTATTTTAAAAATTTTAATGTTTCCTAGTAAGGGATATTTGATTTTTGTCTTTACCTTTTCTTTTAGGGATTCATCTTTACTGAGGATAGATTAAAAAAAAAAATCCAATCTGATAAAGATTAATTATAGATAATAATATGTTAAAATAAATTTTTTTTTTCAAATATTGGTAAGATAACTAAGATTGTGCTCAAAACAAATGTTAATTTGTCATTTAATAAAATCATTTTATTGTGTGAGATAATTTAAAATCTTATAATTGCAATTTATAGATTTATAAAATCTTATTTCTAATATCTTTTTTTTTTAATCCACTATTAATCTCAAAGATGGTTTAATAATAATAATATTGTTATTATTTCTTAAATCAAACTTAAAGGTAATTCAAGAACCTATATCTAAGATGAGTAGACAAATTATTATACTACCGTATACAGTATATTGATTATTAGACTCCGTGTGAAAAATGCATGATCACGTGACAGATAAAATTACTGATAAATCGCTTTTGTTACACGATCTCTTTGCTAATTACACACGTTCTTTGCTTTACATCATAACAAATTATTAAAATGATCAATGTACATGATATTCCTGGTCGTTATGAACAGCAAAGATTGGATCTTTCTATTGTACCAGGAAAAAGTCTTGGCTGGTTTCGCCTAGGAACTTCAATTTGGGACATAATTAATTTTTTAAGAGAGCAATCTCGAGTAATTCCTTCGGTTGATTTAAAGTACGCAGATGAGTCGCCAGTTACCACTGATCTATTCCTATCCTTACCAGCTAATGGTATAAATATGCGATTCGATGGTCTAATACAACGATTAAAAGCGATAGAAGTATATGATTTTTCGAAACTAAGGTTAACCTATCAAGATAGTGAAGTTAGTTCAAGCAAAGTTGCACCAACTTTTCTCTCTATATACAAAATTTTCGGCCCAACTTATCCCGGAGAGTTGGATAAAACGAAAAAAGAGTATACTCTAAATTACCCGGGTGTCTCATTTGTATTTCCAATCCCTGAAGAACACATCTATTTATATATATCGTCTTCAGATCTTCCTTTAGAACTTCCGGATGGGACGTCGCCTTTACTTTCGCGCTTATATACTTTTAATGGAACAAATTTTCACAACGCTGTTGTACCTTCCTTAACAAGAAGTGCGAGTTCCGAAAACAGAGTGGGGAGCGGAGAAACCGGGGAGATTGAAAGTGTTATTGCAGAACTGAAGCGCGGAATTACTATCAATTTTTTAGATAGAAACCATTCAAATCCCATTTCCAAAGAGATACTCCTAAATGTCACGACACCACAGGATCTCTTGGTAGATATAGGATCCGCATTGCGAGTATTTTTCAAGGAGGAAGACAAAATGCGTATACATTCCGAAGATATTAGTAATATAGATAGTGTAGATAATAAAGTGCAAGAAAATAACAGTGTGCTATCGAATGGTATAGAAGATCGTAATCACGGAGATGGACACCCGATTGATTATTTTTACAATTATTTTCAGTATGGTTTTGATGTACTTTTTGACGGAATGACTCATCGTTGTAAGAAAATTATATTACACGGTAATGTTCCGGGCCACTACGATTTTCAGAGGTACAAACGATGCCCATACAAGATATTATTACATCCCAAGGTGAATTCTAATCCTGATATAAATGAAATAGCAAGACTTGAAGTTTCTGGTGAGGATGATGATTCGCAGTCGACACCATTATCGCCATCAGGAGTCGCGTATATTACTGCAGAAATGAAGATTGATAAGATCAGGGAACTTTTTGGTCCACTCACTGGGCGACCACTTATTTTTAATCGTGGAGCTGGTGGCCAAAATCCATTTGGACCTACTGAGTTAAGCGGACATGATGGTGCAGTGTTTGAGGTAATGAAGAATGGATATGTTGCAACAATCACATTATTCTAGAGGTTGAATTTTTGGATTTCGATGAATGCCTCATCCATCAAACAATTATATTCTCCGAATAATACTTAGTTTAATTTATTGATACACTAGAAATAGAAATAAAAATTTTTCAGTTGGTTTAGAATAAGTACACGCAAATATATTTGAAAAATTAATGTCAATTTCAACATACCTCTTATGTGGATAGGAATTCACTCAGTGTCGAGAAAGAAATCATCAAAATTTCCGGAGGTCTAGAATAATAGACAAATGATAAATGCCTTATTAATATTAAAGATTTATAACGTATATTGTGAATTTAATCAATTAATATACAGTATACAGGGTGTCAACTTTTATTTATATTTTAATGAATAATTGTTTAATTAATTTGAAATTTTAAATATAAATTCATAAATATACTAATTTGTAACTATGCATAAATTTATATATAGTATTACTAAAGTTAATTCTTTAACTAAATATAACTTTGAAAATGATTTATTGTTCTATTAATAGTTTGGATAGAAGTTCTTTCAACTACTTCCATTATTATTTACAGGTCATCACTATAAATTTCTCTTTCAAGTTCTAATAAGAATTCAAATTTAAACACTTTATTTTATACTTGATTTTATTTATTATAATTATGACATAATTCATTTCTTTTATTTTTTTATTTTTTATCTTTATATATTTTTAATTTTATCAAGTTTTTTTGAACAAATTAATTTTTAAAATTTTTTAATTTTATTTTTTTTTATGAATTTCTTGTATTTTATTTTATAATTTTTTTTATATTAACGATTTATTTAATTTATTTTTTAAAAATTAAATCGAGATAAGGAACTATTGTAAAGAAATATCAAATTAACATCTAAAATAATATATAAAGTTTCTAAAGTAGATAATAATTTATTAAAAAATTTATTATTTATTATCAAATGAAAAATAAAATATAATATTTTTAAGATAAATATATTTTTATTGTTAAATAATTCTAAGAATTTTTTAAGAAAAAATTTTTGTCTTTAAATATATAATTGAATTATAAAAATATAAAAATAAAAGTCTAATAATAATAAATAATAATAATAATAAATTTATTAATTTTACTAAATTTTTAAACTATATTTTATTAAATAAAATTCAAATATCTATTAAAAATAATAATATGATTTAATATAATAAATTAAAAAAATTTTTTAAAGTTATATTTATTTAATTTGTTTAATGTATTTAAGATAAATAATACTAGTTTATGATATAAAAAATATTTTTAAAGATCTAAAATTTATATAATAAAATAATTAAATGACAAAATTATTAATATTGAAATTATTATAAAATCTTAAGATTTTCAAAAAATACAATTTGTAGAATTAAAAAATCTTATCAATTATACTATAAATTATATAAATTATAAATTAATTGATATTTAAATATTAAAATTATTTAACTTAATAATATATCTTTTTTTTTTTTTTTTTTTTTTTTTTTTTTTTTTTTTTTTTTTTTTTTTTTTTTTTTTTTTTTTTTTTTTT